TTTAGTAGATACTGGGTTTCACCATCTTGGCCAGGCTGGTCTCAAACTCCTGACCTCGTGATCCAACCGCCTTGGCCTCCCAAAGTGCTGGGATTACAGGCATGAGCCACCACAACTGGCCAAAAAGTTTTCTTTTCTTTTCTTTTTTTTTTAGATGGAGTTTCACCCCGTTGCCAGGCTGGAGTACAGTGGTTTGATCTCGGCTCACTGCAACCTCTGACTCCCAGGTTCAAGCGATTCTCCTGCCTCAGCCTCCCAAGTAGCTGGGACTACAGGCATGCGCCACCACACCCAGCTAATGTTTATATTTTTAGTAGAGATGGGGTTTCACCATATTGGCCAGGATGGTCTCGAACTCCTGACCTCGTGATCTGCCCGCCTCGGCCTCGCAAAGTGCTGGGATTACAAGCATGAGCCACTGCGCCCAGCCTACACTTAGCTAATTTTTTAAAGTTTTTTGCAGAGAAGAGGTCGTCTTGCCATCTTGCCCAGGTTGGCCTCGAACTCCTAGGATCAAGTGATCATCCCACCTCGGTCCCTCAAAGTGCTGGGATTGCAGATGTCAGTTACCATGCCCAGCCAAAAGAAAATGTTATTAGAGATGCTGAGAATCAGGAATTTGGCAGGTAACGCATAGAGGGAAAAGCATCCCAGACACAGGTAAGGGCTCAAAGGGGAGAACATGGCTGGGCGCTGTGGCTCACGCCTGTAATCCCAGCACTTTGGGAGGCTGAGGCGGCAGATCATGAGGTCAGGAGTTCGAGACCAGCCTGGCCGATATGGTGAAACCCCGTCTCTCCTAAAAATACAAAAAATTAGCTAGGCATGGTGGGGGGTGCCTGTAATCCCAGCTACTCAGGAGGAGTCTGAGGCAGGAGAATCGCTTGAACCCAGGGGGCAGAGATTGCACCACTGCACTCCAGCCCCGTCAGCAGTGTGAGACTCCATCTGAAAAACAAAACAAAACAAAAAAAAGAGAACATGTCTCCTCTGGCCAGAGTACAGGATGCATGGAGTATTAGTCCATTTTCATACTGCAACAAAGAACATCTGAGACTGGATTATTTATTTATTTATTTATTTATTTATTTATTTGAGACTGGGTAATTTATAAAGGAAAGAGGTTTATTTGACTCACAGTTCAGCATGGCTGGGGAGGCCTCAGGAAACTTACAATCATGGCGGAAGGCGAAGGGGAAGCAAGACACCCATTCTCCGTAAGGCGGCAGGAAGAAGTGGAGCAAAGGAGGAGGAACCCCTTATAAAACCATCAGATCTCTTGAGCACTCACTCACTATCATGAGAACCGCATGGGGCAGCCCGCCCTCCTGATTCAGTTACCTCCACCTGGTCCGTCCCTTGACACATGGGGATTATGTGGATTACAATTCAAGACGAGATTTGGGCGGGGACACAAAGCCTAACTATATCACATGGAGAGGAGATGGAAGCCACAGGGTGGGCCAGGCCCAGGCCCAGGAGTCTGGAGAGGGACGGGGACCCCTGAGGGCTTCTAATGGGGGTGATCACGTCATTCCTAGGTTTTGCTGTGGGTTTTTGTTTTGTTGTGTTTTGAGAAAAGGTCTTGCTCTGTCACCCAGGCTGGAGTGTAGTGGCGCAACCACAGCTCACTGCAGCCTCCAGTTCCTGGTCTCGAGTGAACCTTCCACCTCAGCCTCCCAAGTAGCTGGGACCACAGGCATGCACCACCATTCCTGGCTAATTTTTTTTTTTTTTTTTTTTTTTGAGACGGAGTCTCGCTCTGTTGCCCAGGCTGGAGTGCAGTGGCCGGATCTCAGCTCACTGCAAGCTCTGCCTCCTGGGTTTACGCCATTCTCCTGCCTCAGCCTCCCGAGTAGCAGGGACTACAGGCGCCCGCCACCTTGCCCGGCTAGTTTTTTGTATTTTTTAGTAGAGACGGAGTTTCACCGTGTTAGCCAGGATGGTCTTGATCTCCTGACCTCGTGATCCACCCGTCTCGGCCTCCCAAAGTGCTGGGATTACAGGCTTGAGCCACCACGCCTGGCCCATTCCTGGCTAATTTTTAAATTTTTTGTAGAGATGGGGTCTCACTGTATTGTCCAGGATGGACTTGAACTCCTGGGCTCAAGTGATCCTCCTGCCTCAGCCTTCCAAAGTACTGGGATTACAGGCATGAATCACTGTGCTGGGCTCAGGCTGAGGGGTTTTTGTTTGTTTGTTTGTTTGTTCTGAGATGGAGTATGGCTCTGTTGCCCGGTCTGGAATGGAGTGGCACCATCTCGGCTCACTGCAAACTCCGCCTCCCAGGTTCACGCCATTCTCCTGCCTCAGCCTCCCAAGTATCTGGGACTACAGGTGCCCGCCACCATGCCTGTCTAATTTTTTGTATTTTTAGTAGAGACGGGGTTTCACCATGTTAGCCAAGATGGTCTTGATCTCCTGACCTCGTGATCCGCCTGTCTTGGCCTCCCAAAGTGCTAGGATTACAGGTGTGAGCCAATGCACCTAGCCCAGACTGAGGTTTTTAAAAGGCCATTCTGGCCGGGCGCATTGGCTCACACCTGTAAACCTAGCACTTTGGGAGGCTGAGGCAGGTGGATCACTTGAGGTCGGGAGTTCAAGACCAGCCTGACCAACATGAAGAAATCTTGTCTCTACTAAAAATACAAAATTAGCCGGGGTGATGGCGCATGCCTGTAATCCCAGCTACTTGGAAGACTGAGGAACCCGGGAGGTGGAGGTTGCGGTGAGATGAGATCACGCCACTGCACTCCAGCCTGGGCAACAAGAGTGAAACTCCATCTCAAAAATAAATAAATAAATAAATAAATGGCCATTCTGCACTATGGAGGACAGTCTGGAAGGGGGCCAGAGTGGTTAGGGCAAGGAAGGAGGCTGTTATGAGGGATGGCTGGTGAGCTAGAGCCAGGGCAGGGGAAAGGACAGGAAGATACGTCACAGGTAAAATCGGTGGGTGGGGGGAGGGGGAGGAAGGGAAGGGCAGGGCAGGGCAGGGCAGGGCAGGGCAGGGCAGGACAGGGCGAGGAAGGGGAGGTGTCGGATCTTGCCCAGCGGCAATACAAGGTGAGCACTGCCCACAGAAGGGGAGCTACTCAGGGATGAGTTGTCTCCACCATGGAATGTGGTGGACCCTGCGGGGCATTCAAAGGACAGTGTCTAATAGGGAGCTGAGGCCATTACAGCTGGAGACAGAGTGGAAGGGGCCCAGCACAGGGACAGCATTGGAAGCTCCAGAGCTAGTAGTCGCCAGCCCCCTGGTATCTCGTGGGGTGCACAGAGTGAACTCTGGAGAGCCCCAGTCTTTGGAGGGAGGCAGGGAAAGAGACTAAATGCCGAGAAAGGAGCTAGGAGAAGGCAGCCTTTCAGGCATGGTGCTGTCAACCATGGCACAGACGCGTCAAGAAGTGGGAGGGGGCCGGGCACAGTGGCTCACGCCTGTAATCCCAGCACTTTGGGAGGCTAGGGGGGTGCAGATCACGAGGTCAGGAGATCAAGACCATCCACCATCCTAGCCAACATGGTGAAACCCTGTCTCTACTAAAAATACAAAAATTAACTGGGCGTGGTGACACACACCTGTAATCCCAGCTACCTGGGAGGCTGAGGCAGGAGAAGCGCTTGAACCCGGGAGGCAGAGACTGTAGAAAGTCGAGATGGCACCACTGTACTCCAGGTTGGCAACAAAGAAAGACTCTGTCTCAAAAAAAAAAAAAAAAAAAAAAAAAAGCGGGAGGCTGGGCACAGTGGCTCATGCCTGTAATCCCAGCACTTTGGGAGGCTGAGGTGGGCGGATCACTTGAGGTCAGGAGTTTGAGACCAGCCTTGCCAACATGGTGAAATCCCATCTCTGCTAAAAATACAAAAATCAGCCAGGTGTGGTGGCGCACGCCTATCATCCCAGGTACTCAGGAGGCTGACGCAGGAGAATCCCCTGAACCTGGGAGGTAGAGGTTTTGCAGTGACTCAAGATTGCATCACTGCAACCCAGCCTGGGTGAGAAAGGGAGATTGCGACTCAAAAAAACAAAACAAAACAAAACAAAAAAAACGGGTGTGAGGAAGGAAGGAAAAGTATCCACTGGATTTAGCGAAGTGAGATTGTCAGTGGCCTTGAGGAATTTCCACTGGAGACCTAGAGAGCTGGGGTAAAAGGCAGATGACTGGGGTTGCAGAATGAGTGGGAGGTGAGGACGTGGTCTAATGGTGAGGACCGCTCTTTAACGAAGAGAGTCTGGGATTGTTTTATAGTGTTTAAAGGCTAAGGGGCAGGAAGGAGAGGAGGTGAAGGTATAGGAAGGAAGGCTCCTGGGAACTATGGCCTGGTCAAGGGACAAGAGGCACCCCCTCTGCGGCCAGAGGAAGGGGTGCAGTCACATCTGTAAGAGCAGTGGGAAAAAACCATACGAGAGCCAGTCTCAAGGGTGAGGGCACCGGCGTGGAGCGCACAGAGCTGGAATGAGGGCCTGTGGTTTTGAGGGGGACCCTGGGCTCAGTGGGATGTCCCAAGGGTCAGGCTGGGGCTGGGGTACCAGATCTAGTGAGTACAACTACAGGATGCCCAGCAAAATTTTTTTAGCATAAGTATTTCCCATGCAACGTCCGGGATATACTTACATTAAAAAAAAAAAAAAATTATTCGTTGTCTGAACTCAAGTCCTGTAATTTTCAGCCAATTCTAGCCCAGCGTGGCGCAGTAGTGGGTCAGGGAGGGCACGGGAACGGCGCGACCCGACAGCCTGGGAAACGGACAGCCGTGTCAGAAGGGCAGGTGCCAGTGGGGAGGAGGCCGGAGAGAAAGCCGCAGCTTCCTTCCACCTCGCGCCGGGCCCGCGGCCGCGCAAGAAACCTCTCCGGGTTCCTCCCGGCGGGAACCCCCTGCCCCAGAACTTTGGTCTCGTCCCATCCACCCCCGCCCGCGCCATGGTCTCGCCCTAGGGAGTTATCGATAACTCTACGCTCGACCTCGATCGACTCGCTCCGGCTCCCCTCGCCGTCCTGGACACAGCGGAGTGCGGAGTCGCCCGTAAGGTACGAGGCCGCGAGCCAGGGGCCGGGAACCGGTTGCTGGGTGGGTGGGAGAGTACGGCTAGGGGAAGCCGGCCAGCAGGACGGAGAAAGGGCCGTCGGCGGAGGACAGGGGAGCTCGGGGGTCCAGCCAGACTGCGCCCCTTCCTATCACGGCCCGCCGCCGGCCTGTTACGCATGCGCAGCCGCAGGGCTCGGCTTTCCCCGGCCCACCCGCCGCCTTGCGCACGCGCAGCCCGCCCCTGCGGCAGAGTGGCGCCCGCGCGTGACTGCCCCCTGCCGGCTGCGAGGGGGACGGCGCCCCCGCCGGGTGCGTGGGGCGGGGATGGAGCACGCGCCCTGGAGCCCCGGAGCCGCCCGGAGCCGGGTGTCACGCGTGTGACGCGTGTCCCTGAACCTACCTCCGCTTGTTGTCCCAACTCTAAATTGGGAATGATAAGCGCCATTCGGCAGCGCCCCGTGGGTCTGTAATCTGTTTAGCACAGTGTGTCCTCTAAGTACTTTACATCCTTCTCTGTAGATGCCCTGACCTTTGATCCCTGCTATTCAGCTCTAGGGCCCGTGCAGGCCACACCATGAACACGTCCCCAGGCACGGTGGGCAGTGACCCGGTCATCCTGGCCACTGCAGGCTACGACCACACCGTGCGCTTCTGGCAGGCCCACAGCGGCATCTGCACCCGGACTGTGCAGCACCAGGACTCCGTATCCTCCACCTGGGGCGGGCAGGGCGGCGCTGGAGGGATGCCTCATGTGGGGACCACAGCCTGGGTGAAGGCCAGATGGTGAAGGCCTGGGGGCCCCTGTCCTCAGGGTTGCCTTCCCATCATCCTCCTTAACAGTCCCAGCAGGTGAATGCCTTGGAGATCACACCAGACCGCAGTATGATTGCTGCTGCAGGTATCTGTGACCCTTGATCTCTAACCCCTGACCTCTGGTGGGTCGACCTGAGCACAACCAAGCTTCATTTCAGCCTGTGTCCCTAGGTTACCAGCACATCCGCATGTATGATCTCAACTCCAATAACCCCAACCCCATCATCAGCTATGATGGTGTCAACAAGAACATCGCGTCTGTGGGCTTCCACGAAGACGGCCGCTGGATGTACACGGGCGGCGAGGACTGCACAGCCAGGATCTGGGACCTCAGGTGCGGTGGGGAGGGGCCTGCTGCCTGGGGCTGGGCTGGGCTGTTCTGAGAGACCATTTTAGGTTGGGTTCTCTCCAAGCAGAGGCTGAAATAGGGAGCTTCCTGTGGGCGACTCAGTGAGAGAAGTGAGGACAGGAGGAGAGTGAATTGCATCAAAGCGCGAGTCCTGCCTTGAGCCCGGAGCCAGCGTGTTATTCCCCTTCCACCAGCCACTGGCTTAGGCTCCCTGCTGGAGTGGAGGGCCCTGCGTCTCGAGTATTTCCCAAGAGGCAGGTCCTTTAGCAGAGGGAGGGGAGGAGTGGCCAGGCTAAGGCCATCTGGGTAGGGCACCAACAAGCCCAGATGGACAGCATGTGCCCTGGCCCGGTCCACAGGTCCCGGAACCTGCAGTGCCAGCGGATCTTCCAGGTGAACGCACCCATTAACTGCGTGTGCCTGCACCCCAACCAGGTGAGGGGTGCTCATGGGGCCAGGCACTCTGGGACTTTGGAGGGCTGGGCTTGGGTCCTGCCTCACCACCCCTGCACCCCAGGCAGAGCTCATCGTGGGTGACCAGAGCGGGGCTATCCACATCTGGGACTTGAAAACAGACCACAACGAGCAGCTGATCCCCGAGCCCGAGGTCTCCATCACGTCTGCCCACATTGACCCCGACGCCAGCTACATGGCAGCTGTCAATAGCGCTGTGAGTCCTGGAGGCAGGTGCTGGGTGGAACCAGCTTGGCACTCAGCCCTTAGCCTCTGCAGGTGGGCTTATTCCTGGATGTCCCTTAGTGCCCCCCTCCTGCTTCCCCTATCCTAGGCACTAACACCCACCCTGCCAGCAAAGCCAGAAGCGTGAATGTCGCTCCCAATGCCTTGACCCTGTCTGCAGTCCGGTCACTCCGCTTTCTGGAGTCTCTCCCAAGTCGGTCCACTTCCCTCCTTTCTCTCTGTTGCCTCCTGGTCCCAGTCACCCTCATTTCCCATGACAGCTGACACACTCTGAGGCCTCCTTTCCTCCTCCCTGACCTCCCCTGGCCCCTGACCCGTTCTCTCTTGGATGCTTCTAGTGGTGCCTCGTCAGTACCAGCCAGGTGGCATCATTCCCCTGGGGAGACCCAGGGCTACTGGCCTTGCCCTTAGGCTGCCGTGGTGTGGCCCCTGGTCTTCTCTCCAACCTCATTTTTTTCCGTTAACTCCATTTAATCCCAGCGTGTCACTTGTCCCTCTTGCCCCCGGATTTCCTTTCTCCTGGCCTTTGTCATGTTGTCCCTCTAGCTGGTGCCCTCTCCCGTGTACTTCCATTGGCCATCGGCATCCTCCAGGAAGGGGAATTTGAGTCTTTGGCCAGGTGTGGCCTCCTGTTCTTGGCTTGCCATGTGTGGCCCTTGGTTGGGGCCAGGCTTCCCAGGTGCCTCCTGCAGGCAGGACCAGAGGGGCCTGTCCGCCCCTGACCCAGGGTCCCCATGCACAGTTGAACCCCAGTGTTGGCCCCCAGGGCATCCTTCCCTGTGTCTCAGACCTGAGGCCTCGGGTCCCCCGTGACGGTCCTCCTGACCTCTAGGGAAACTGCTATGTCTGGAATCTGACGGGGGGCATTGGTGACGAGGTAACCCAGCTCATCCCCAAGACCAAGATCCCCGCCCACACGCGCTATGCCCTGCAGTGCCGCTTCAGCCCCGACTCCACGTGCGTGCAGGGCCTGCTGGCCCGGGAGGGGACCTGCCTGGGCTGTGGGCTGGAGACGGGAGGGGCTGCTGGGTGGAGTGGCTGCTGCTGGACACGCCCCCACGCCCATCCCCCAGGCTCCTCGCCACCTGTTCGGCTGATCAGACGTGCAAGATCTGGAGGACGTCCAACTTCTCCCTGATGACGGAGCTGAGCATCAAGAGCGGCAACCCCGGGGAGTCCTCCCGTGGTTGGATGTGGGGCTGTGCTTTCTCGGGGGACTCCCAGTACATCGTCACTGGTGAGCCCCGCCCCGGCCTCCCCATCCCTGGCCTCCCAGCGCTGGCCTCCAGAGCCAGCCCACCTTGGCTGCGGCTCCCCCTCTGCTAGGGCCACCTGCCTGGCCTGCACCTCTGCTCTGAGCCCTGCCCAATCTCCCCCTCCAGCTTCCTCGGACAACCTGGCCCGGCTCTGGTGTGTGGAGACTGGAGAGATCAAGAGAGAGTATGGTGGCCACCAGAAGGCTGTCGTCTGCCTGGCGTTCAACGACAGTGTGCTGGGCTAGCCTGTGACCCCTCAGGACTGCCTGGTGTAGGTGGTGGCAGCTGGAGGGTCCCATGCAGCACCCAGGTCAGAACAGGCCCTACTGCCGGCCTACACCAGCTGGACCTGATGGCCCCCTGTGGCACCTTGACCTGCTGGGCCAGGCCGCCCTGGGACTCTCAGCCCCCAGCTGCTTATCTAGATGTGACAGCTTGACCCAAGCCAGGCTGCACACTCCTGGACTGGGCTAGCCTGCACTGCCTGGGAGTCAGCCAAGGGCCCAAAGCTGCTGAGGGGTGTGAGGCTGGTGCCCACCCCTAAGCTAGTGTGTTTCCTGTCCCCTCCCTGCCGCGTTTCAGGGCCTTAGTCCACAGAGAACACCACCATGGCCAGGTGGAAGGGTTTATTAGTCCCTGCCGGCAGCTGTCCTCCCTGGTGCGGGTGACCTGGCCAGCCCGCTGGATTGGGGACAGGGACCGGGCTGGGCCAGGTCGGGGCTCAGTCTGGGAGGTAATAAAAGCAGACTGACACACAGATGTTGCTTGGGAAGCAGATGTCGATGCACAGATAAATCAGCCGCTGTCTCCGGGGCCCTGTGGCGAGGGTGCCGTGAATCCCCAAGGGCTCCGCCCCCAGCTCATCAAACCATCCCGAGGGCCTGGCCTCCCCCCACAGCGGCCCTGACTCACCCTCTGCTCGCCGGGCCCAGTAGATGGGGGTCCTTGTGCACAGGCGCTGCACCAAATCCCCCACCTGGGCAGGGTCCACCTCGTGGCTCCCCTGCACTGCCAGCAGCTCCTGGGTGTGTTGGGTGTCCTGGGCAGGGCCCCGAGGCTCTTGGACCTGTTGAGAAGGCTCTGGTGGGCTGTGGGACAGGGCTGCTCCCTACTCCTGGCTGGGCGGGGCTGGGTACCTCCCAACCCCCAGTGATGTCCCCACCCTCTGCTCTTGTCAGCAGCCTGGGCTCAGGGTGGAGAGAGCTTCCTGTTCCCTGAAACCAGAGCTCCAGCCTATCCTGTGCCCAGCTGCACACAGGACCCTTTGTCTAGCCCCTGGTGGGGGGCTGTGCCCAGCAGGATGGCTCACCTTGGAGGTATCCATCAGCAGCCGCAGGGTCTCCCGATCACTGTCCTCCATCAGGCGGAGGAAGCAGGCCTGGTGCTCCTCAGGGTGGTAACAGATGCAGCCCTGGGGAGGCAGGGAGGTGAGGAAGGGCCACCCCGACCGACACCTGCAAGGGTGACGTGACCCCTCCCTGCCCACTCACGCTCTGCCCGTCGAACAGCACCACCCAGCTGTGGTTGCTCTGAGGTGAGGTCACTGTGATGGTCGCTGCGTTCCGGGCCACGTCCACCAGGATGGTTTGGTTGGGCCGGGGCATGTGGGGGCTTGGGAGGGTCATTCGCAGTGTCTGCAGCCTTGGCTGGCAGTGGGAGTTGGAGTTCAGCTGGGCAGCTGGACAACCCCAGCACAGCCGCCAGCTCTGGGCTGCAGGACTCCTGACATCCCCAAGTGGGCCCTTCCACCTCTGGCTGTCTGCTCCTAGGCGGTCACTGCCTGCTCTGCACCCTGGCTCTGCTGGAGGCTGGGATGTGCCAGCTTCCCTTTCCCCTTTTCACTGTCCACATCCCTGGTGCTGAGGAGGGGCTCACCTTGGGAGGGCCCTGAGCGAAGCCAAGAAGCCCTCCAGCCACAGCTCCCGCAGTGGCCAGTGCCAGGAGCAGCAGCAGCAGGGATAGGCCCGTGGCTCTCCAGCCCCCACAGGTGGGCTTGGTCTTCACCTGGGGGCGCATTAGGGTCAGAAGGGTCATGGGGTTTAGAGATCAGGGAGCCAGTGGGCTGGGGAAGGGAGGGGCTGGGTGGCCGGGGGCACCCCCTGGGTCCTTGCTGCAGGAGTGATGGGAGGCACTCACCCCTGTAGGCCCAGGTTTGGGGCACTCAGCGCGGCAGTTCGCTGGCTTCATCCTGCAGCCCCTGCTCACAATGTGCCGATTGTCTGCGCCCCTTGTCTGCAGCCTTGGCCGGGGAAACTCAGAACGCCTCCCCTCCTGACCCCGCGCCTCTCCCTCAGCTCCGGATCTGATATCCAGGTCAGAGCCAGGACAGTCCCCTCCTCCCACCTGGGGGATGCCTGTCACCAGGCTCGGCTCCAGACACCTGGCCTGTGCAGACTGGAGATCAGGGTCTGGGAGGCATAGGGCTGGGCCGAGTAGAAATCCAGTCCAGCTGAGCGACTGGAGGGCAGTCCAGGCCCGGCCAGGGCGACTCACTGAGTGTGGTTGGGGTGGATTTCGTTTTCCTAAAGTGGCATGAGTCTCTCAGGTTACTCTTGACTCCCAGAGCTGGGCACAGGGCCTGACACACCACAAGCTGTCAATAAATGCCTGCTCAGTGAATGACAGGTGTGGGACTGTGCACCCCCAGCCACTTCCCAGCCCCCACACACCCAAGTCCGGGGGTTCCTGAAGGCTGGACCACAGACAGGCAGCCTGCTGTGCCTGTGCCCCCACAATAGGCCAGCCTCGGGGGCCCGCCCAGCACTTTTTTTTTTGAGATGGGAGTCTTGCTGTGTCCCCTAGGCTGGAGTGGAGTGGCGTGATCTCGGCTCACTGCAACCTCTGTCTCCTGGGTTCACACAATTCTCACGCCTCAGCCTCCTGAGTAGCTGGGATTACAAATATATGCCACCATGTCCCGCTAATTTTTGTATTTTTAGTAGAGATGGGTTTCCACCATTTTGGCCAGGCTGGTCTTGAACTCCGGACCGCAAGTGATCCGCCTGCCTCAGCCTCCTAAAGTGTTGGGATTACAGGTGTGAGCCACCGCGCCTGGCCCACAATTACTTCTGACCTCTGCTCCCTGCCCTGGGCTCTCGGCCATGGCAGCCCACCAGCTTCACTCTGAGGCCTTTTCCTTCCCTGGTTTCCCTTTGTGCCTGGCTTTCCCTCATTCTCCAGAACATCTTCCTCTGACCCAGGCCAGGAGTGGGCAGTTGCCATTCCAGCTCCAGAGTTGGAACCCCAGCTACCCATCTACTTTGAATCCTTCCACCCGCGGCGAGACGGCATTGCCCGGGCCAATGCAAGGCGAGAGCAAGGACACCCGAGCCAGTGTGGGTTTGAGAGTTTAATCTGTGCTCTGGTGCAGACAGTGCCGCAGCCCCTCATGGGCTAGAGACAGGGCGCACAGGGACTCCTAGCCCCCACCCGGCAAGAGAGGCATCGCCGAGGCTGCACCTGCCATGCACTCCTGGATATGCCATGCACTCCTGGTGTGACTGCACCCTGCCAGGCCAGACCCGGCTTGAGCCAACCTAGCCAAGCCAGCATCAGCGCCACCAGCCTCATGGGCACAGCCGCCCTTATGCTGCTCCGCAGCACCCTCTAAACCTGACATCCCAGGCCCGGGAGGTGCTGAAGGCTCAGGACGCCCCTTATTGCTCTGAAGTCTTTGTGACCAAGTGGAGTGTTGTGACTATGGGGCCAAGAGAGAAGCTGCCGGGCAAGGTGCTGGTAGGGAGCCAGCCAGAAGGTGACTGTCCTGGGATGGCCTTGCTGAGTCTGCTGTCAGGCCTGTGAAAGGTCAGCAGAGCAAAGGAGCAGGCAGGAGAGACCAGAGCCCCGCCCAGAACCTTGGCGAGCTGGTGGCCCTGCCAAGTCCTCCTCCTGGCCACTGAAGAGGGAATCCAGGGCAAGGCAGGTGACCTCCTGGGCCACCAGCCTCTAACCCCTACCCCAACCTAGGGAATGGGAGGACTGGAAGAGACTGGATGCTATGTAAAGGACTTGCTGTTCTCGGGGACACAACTCTCCTCCCCTCCCCTCCCAGAGCCCTGGATGACTGACAGGCATTCCTAGGCCAACACATGCTTCAGCCGCGCTGCCGAATGCAGGGCACCTGGATGACAGGCATTCCTCGGCCAACACATGCTTCAGCCGTGCTACTGGCTGCAGGGCACAGAGGCTCCTTCAGTGGGATTTTCCCTACGACACAGAGCACAGCTATTAACACACTTAAGATTCAACTCCATTGCCTGACACAGTTGTTCAAAGTTAAAAACTGTTTGGTAGCAGCACTGCTCTGAGCTCCCTGCACTGCAGCCCCGAGTTCAGCGAAGGCATTCACGCCATCGAGGCTGCTCAGTCCAAATCACCTGGGTTTAAATGCACACTTGAGACAGCAAGAGGTTTAGCTGGGCCGCATTTACAGAACTGGGCAGCAGCCCTGGGTATCTGAAACGGAACAGACACTCAGTTGTGACATCAGAGTGGTTTTCAAGGAAGTAGGGGAGGCGGGAGGGTGGTGAGGGCAGCACTTTGTACCTAGTGGCAGAGATGCCACCTGGGAGCAGCCTCCTCCTCCACTCTCTCCCTGCCGGGAGGCACAGGAACACAGAAGGCTCCGCCGGACTTCCAGTCACACTGATGGGACCCTGGTCCATGCAAGCCTCTTCCAATAGTCAGAATAATCAGTCCCTCCGCCCCCTGAGGGGCTGGATCCCTGAATAAGTTTTTCCATAAAATACAGGACACACACCCCTAGACCCGCCTCGGTTACCTGAATCCCGGACAGGTGCTGAGCCTGCCCCCCGCAACGCCACAATGCCTTCCAAGCCTAAAAGTGCATCTTCGATTACAAGCATCTGTAAACAAAATCGTCCCCCAAACGTGTACTTACAAGGTTAACAATGTATGCCTTTGCTTAACTCCAATTACACTCCTTGAAGCCACTTAGCTGAGCAGATGCCTAAGCCCCACCTATTAATTTGGGTAACTGGTTTTCAATTTTTTTTTTTTTTTTTTTTTTATTCTGGAGATTAAAGACACCCAATCTTTAACCTTGAAGGGCAGGCAAAAGGTCGGCTATGCTGTCAACATAGAAGTCAGGCACCATTTTCTTCTTAGACACGCAGTCACTTTCCTGATTATTCTTCACATCTCCTAGAGTGGACACTCCGGTGAGGGTCAGGATGGTCTTCAGGCCACAGGTGACGCCTAGGAGGATGTCTGTGTCCAGGCGGTCTCCCACCATGACGGTGCGCTCGGGGTTGATGCCGTATTCCTGGGACACGCAGTCGAAGATGAAGCGGCTGGGCTTCCCGATGATGTCGGCCTGGCGCTGGGCGGCCATCTCCACGGCTCGGACTAGACAGCCGGTACCTGCGGGGCACAGGGGACCGGGTCAAAGGGCGGGAAGGGGGCCCGCC